CACCTAATTTCTCCATAAATTCACTGCTGCATCAAATAGCGATATAATGAGAATAAAAGACATTTTCGCTAAGGAAGCTCTCGATTGTTAAGCAATATATATTTACCAATACCACAGGAAACGTGTGGTGAAAAGTACAGGGAACATGCATGCTGATGATAGAGAAAACGTTTGAAGTTGTCCTTCGGTAGCATGTTTATTAAAGGAACGATTCGATTGAGACCCTGACGGCTACATTCCCTGAATATGCCGCAAAGAACGCTTGGAATAATAAAGGAACGCTGTAGCTCTAAAGGCTTCACTCGAATCGTCCATTTGATTTTACATTGTAGAGAATAAAGCATTGTTTTCGTGGATTGGGGCTAGTCGGACAATTTTATTGAACTAGCGCAAAAGAAGGGAAATATTTGTCGCCCAGATAATTCCAAATGGGAAAGCAACTTTAAGTTAGCAATATAAAGCTATCACGGTGATGTCGCCAAACATTGAAAAGAAGTAACGCACGAGAAATTAAAGGTGCCTTTACCTACTTTTCGCGATCTTCAGTTGGCACGACTGAAAGATTGTATGTAAACTAACATTGATGCATGTGAAGAATAAATACAAAAGTTCAATAAATAAAACAGGACTAATTGTGGATGAATATATTTTTTTACATAACTGATTCTGTTATTTACATTCTATCCCTAACACTTAATTACAGTTTGTGTTGAACTTAATTTTGCAGGCGTTTAGTAGAAATATGTTCGATGTTTGTTTGGTGAAATTGTAAATGAAACTGAATATTGCCATCCGCACGTTTCATGGAGGTGTCTATAGGGCTTCGACGATAATTCAAGAGTCAGAAGAAAAACGAAAACGAGCGACAGCGCTCCGAGTGAAGAAACCTCCCCATTCGTTCCGCGGCTTCGCTGTTCCCTTTCGAGCCAGCTGCACAGGCCATAGAGCTAAGACGAATACTTTACAAGCCTTTTTATCTGTATATACTCTTGTTACGGAACGTAGAACGCGAATTTAACCTCGAGCTTAAATTCAGGGTATTTAGTGAAAATAAATGTATTTAAATATCATAAACAGTTGTTCTTAAGACTTACATGTAACTGAAACATATAAATTTTAAACTTATAGATACGTTCAACTTGTTTGTTATAAGTGTCGACAATTGGTAAGTAAAATAGCTAAATATTACTTCTACCACTACGTAAGAAAATTCACCGGTTGAAACAGGTAACTTGAATCAAGGTATTTACAGTGGTGTGTGATGTTGTATAGTCCGCTTACAGTTAACTCTGCACATTGTTCTATTTTCATTACTAGTGGTTGGTTCCTATTCTGCCTTCCGGAAGGCAAAAAGAAGTAAAAAAAGATCAAAATTCACATACATTATCTTCTTCAAGATGAAAGTAAACAATAAAACTCCGAAAGTTTTGAAAAGTTAGTTATAAACTTTTTCTTCTTATATCCCAACTTTTCTCGATCTAATAAGCACTGCTATGGGCTTTCATATTCCAAATGGTTGCTGCATAGCCCTTTAGAGGAGGCTGCGTTGATATCCGAGGCGGTAAGTAAAATGTTGTTTTAATTACGGGCATTAACTTGCGGTAATTTCTTTGGTCCGTGCAATAACCTGCACTTGCCGCGTAATTACTTATACCGAATAAATGTAACGAGTCTTTTTGCAGGAGGAAATAAAACAGTTTTCTTTTTAGTTTTAGCCATGCGAATATTAAACCGAATTTCATCTTTGTACTCACAAAGTGCAATAACGAACAAGAAGCGCACGGAGCATATTTTGCGGAAAAAAATTATTAACTGCAAATTCAAACATTTCGAAGATTAGCGCAAAATTAAATCGGTGGTTCAGAACACTTAGTTTTCATTTGTTTTTGTTGAAAATTAATTAAAATCAATATAACAATAAATCAGTAGAATTTTGCAATTTTTTCGTCATTTCAACTTAGTGGAAAGTTTCATTCAATTGACGAATGTAGCCGCTTTATTGGAACTCAGATGGTACAGCCATCAAGTGCTGATCCCAAATTACATGGTTTATCGTGGGCTGCTCATTAAAGCACCATCCATTAAGAGCGGCCATAAATAGCGCAGACGACCATGGCATTTAACTTCCTTACTAACGCTGTCCAGAGAAAAATGCCAGGCGAAAACACCACGGAAAAACTCCTCCATCCGTCGGTAGAAGCGGCTGCAGTCTTCGCAGCAATAAACATCGCTTTCTCGGTCACTGCATCGCTAGGCAATGTTATCATCTTACTTGCTCTACACAAAGTGACTTCGATTCATTCTCCGACGAAAGTCTTGTTACAATGTCTGGTAGTGACTGACCTTTGTGTGGGACTTATTTCACAACCGTTGTATGCAACAAGCCTTGTCAACGCAGGAATAGCGAACTTCGACATGAACATTTTCCGTTACGTTACTAGACTAATTCTGCCAATGTCCGCTCTCGTCCTTTGTGGAGTATCTCTCGCCACGTCTGCTGCAATAAGTGTGGATAGACTTCTCGCGCTGTTTTTGGGGCTGAATTACAGATACGTTGCCACCTTGAGGCGAGTGCGCGGGGTCCTGGTTTGTATATGGTTTATAAATGGTACACTAGCTGTGTGTGCCTTTATTTCTCATATTTCAATTCATCTGTACAATTTGTGTCAGTTGATTTCTCTCGTGATCTCGGCTTTCTCTTACACCAACATCTACATCCGTCTCCGACACAAACTGCAGAACGTGCAGAACCATCCTCCAGAACAAATACCGGCTTCAAATAGTCTCGCGTCAACCGCATTAAATGTAGCACGATACAAGAAAACAGTCTCTACCATAGCATGGGTACAGCTCGGATTAATTTCTTGCTATCTTCCCATTTGTGTTGCTTCATTTCTTCAATATCGTGGCAAGTTTCGTCAAATCCCATTTATTCATTCATTCCTATCCTTACTTTACTTCAACTCGTCTCTAAATCCAATTCTTTTCTTTTGGAAGATCAGGGAAGTGAAACAGGCCGTGAAGGCCATAATAAGAGATTTAAACTGTTTATGCCGAACAAATTGAACTGGAATGAAAATTATTGGCAGGAGGGGTCCAAACTTTTATTCACTAAACACAGAAGTTTTTATCTCTAGTTTTTTTCTTTTAACACTGAAGCCTAAATAAGCCTAGAAATATTAACAACTTTCAAATACTTCAAGTTGAGTAACAATATGTGATCCTGTTCTTGGAAGGATTTTTTGGTTTCAGACAAGGAGGAAAATTACCCACTGGTTTGACGAGAGAGGGTTCTGGAACCTCCAGACCCTTCCCTGGATTCGCCACTGAGACAGAAAATCTCAAACTTGGTCCTCGACCCTGGCAGTATGCAGTACCTTTGTCACTCGTGTTCCTCGCAGTGGTCTGACTCACCATCGAGTCGTTTACTGTTCAGTCGTAGAACATAAGAAGGCGAAATCCAGAGATCAGAAATTCGATACCCTGTGGAGTTCTAAGATTTTTCCTTTATCGCACGCGCGTAGCAAATTAAATTTAGTAGCTGTACGTTTGGATGAACAGCTAGTATGTCTGTTGGAATTTATACCAAGCTGTTCACGCTATTGCGTCAGCTCCAACTCTTTAACACTTAACTCCCACATCAAATTTGAAATTCCCATTGCTGTCAACAATACAATTCTTATAATGTTAGTTCAGAGAATTTAGTATTGGATCAATTAGTTATCCCCAACTTGATATTTTCTTTATTCTCATCACTTAGCTGGTTGATATTGTATTGATATTGTAAGGAGAAATTCTGTCACAGCCATTCATGGGAGTTAAATGATTAAGACATTAGCAATGAATTTGCTTAATATATAAAACTAAACCCTGTCTTAAAGGTATTGCCTTATAACGAAACAGGCTCTCATCTTTTTTTTACAATAATATTTCAGGTGTATTTGGTGACAGATTTGAATCAGGTTAAGAAATTTTTGGTATTAGTATACCAGATACTTTTGCCCAAGTATTTTGGAAATTTGGTCAAAAATCTAAGTTTAAATGGTGGAAAAAATGTTAAACTTTTTAGTTTTTACCATCATAGGCAATGATGAAAAAAAAAAAGCAAACAAACCAAGCACTGAGAAGAAAAGTTAATCAATCCTTTTACTTCCAAGATCTCATTAGTAATTCTCCTTACTGTCTGCCATACAATTCTCATGATGTTGATTCAGAGAATTTGGTATTGGATCAACTAATAATCTCCAAATTGATATTTTCCTTTATTCTCATCACTTGCCTGCTTGATATTGTATTGATAGTGTAAGGAGAAATTCTGTCTTGGTCACTAATTGAAGTTACATGTAAAGGGTCAATGGTTTACAATTAGGATGAAAATAAGACTGAATTCAATTAAGCTATACTTACCACTAGACACCTCATTTCCTGTTGCTCCTGTTTGTGAGCAGCTGGGCTGACATTGTGCACTATTCTCTGAGATGTTAAGTCCATTAAATTGCTGATTGATGGTTGAACTGTTTGATCTGTCATCCTTAAACATACACAGAAGTTTTAGTATGCTTTGTGACAAGGTCATGCCCACAAGTTGGATCATATCCTACTTTCTAAGGCATTACACATAAAACTTTGTCCTGTCTGGGATACTGATAAGTTATGGATTATACTCTCCAACTCTCTCATCCCCATCTATCATTCCCCTTCCATCCAACCACACCCTGTCCACCTAGAATTTTAAGGTAGAGTGTGCTGTAGAACCATGCAGCCCATCCAAAGGCTGTTATCACTGTTTTTGTAGCATGAAGTTGCTAGGACTGTTGCTTCTCCCCTAGATAATTCTGGTAATTTACTGTTAACAACTGAGTTGAAAAAGTAAATTGGCCACCATAATGAGTTTAAAGGCTGGCATTTCGAGCGTTAGCCCTTTATCAGAGTGATTGGACAGTCATTCTGACAAAGGGCTATTGCTTGAAACGTCAGCCTATAAACTCTTTACAGTGGCCAATTTAAACTCTTCACAGTGGCCAATTTACATTTTCAACTCAGTTGTTAAAACTAAATTACCCTGTTATACTCTCTCACTGACGCAACACCACAGTTTCTTCAGCTTCCCTGATTATTTGCAAGTACCCATTTATCCTTGTGGATAGAGAGGGGCAGAATGAGGGTAAAGTTTATCGCTCAAGCACACAACACAATGAAATCACATGGCAACTTGTTTTTCTTCTAAGTTTAGCCACCATTACCTTGTGATAACCATTACAGGGAACTTCAGTACCCCTCAATTGTTCCTCATCATTGTCATCATCATCACTATCACTATGAGCTGCTGATGCTTTGCTTTTGACTGCAGGTGTAAACTTTTTTACAGGAGCTGAGCTTATTTGCTGTTGCATCTGCAGTAATTTTCCTTCCTTCCATAGTCTGTGAAATTCACATAATTTTTGTGCAACCTGTCACACAAATGGAGTAGAATATAATGATAAAACATGAACCTCTGAGATTATTGTTTTAAATCATGCCCATGAAAAGGAGAGAAACATTTCAATTTTGTAAATTATGCAATCACATGATGCAGCCTTTCAAATTTCCAGTTGCTGCCAAAAAATCTTCTCAGAAAATTGTTTGAGGTGTATTGCCTCCACAACAAGTCCCTGTGCCTCACTTTCCTCCTGTGATCACTTGCACAAATTCAAACAAGTTTAAATTTAACAAAGACTGTCTGCATCACACAAGGCACATTTCTACTGCCACCTGCCTTTAGGATAAGTTGCTGCAACTTGATGCTTTACCTGTTCTGATCTTATAAAGAGCAACCCTATTACATGTAATAGCCCAAATTAAAGAGTAAACTTATACAGAGTTTTCTTTTGAAGCTTTCAGATCTGCAGTCAGATTTCACACTAACCCTGGGTTATTTTATCCAGCTTTGAACACCCTGGCCCAGATTTATTCTCTCAGAGCAGAATTTAATAAGTTTGGCAGTAACTATTCAATTCTTACCTTTGATAAACTACCATCTTCCACCATAGTGTCAAATTCATTAAACAATATCTCCTCAATGTAATCCTCTAATTCATAGTTTTCTATAGTATCTGTAACAAATAAAAACATTAATAATAGCATTTAAATATCCGAAATCACCCCAATCAAAAAAGATGACCTGCTGCAAGCTATAGCAACTGAAACTTGTCCCCTGAATTAGCACTTATTCTCTCTTATGTTCCACTGTAAATAATTCACCACAAAAAACAAATGTCACAGGATTTTGATTTCTTTTTTAGTAGGCTAACTGGGGTAATATCCAAGCCATATTGAGATAGTCCATGTAATTGGACAGTGTTATTGGATATACTGGTCAAAATTCCTGAAATGCTTGTTTTATTTAATGTTCATTCGTGTTTCTCTAATTTTCTTGTGGGGAGAAGGTGGTATTATCCTCATTTCGTGGCCAAATTTTGCGTACATCCCCTCTAATGTCATCGCCTTTTAGTCCAGTTAACAAAGAAAAGCGTCACCTTCTGGGTGATAAAAAAATCAAATATATAAATAAACAAGCAAAGAGGAAAATATCAATTCCCCTCCCTTTAACTCCTCGTACCCTTCTATTAACAATACTTTAGTTTATCCTACTACTTCAAGATCCCAAATTTTCATAATCACACCAGTAGACAACACTCAGTCTTATCACGTGCAATTAAACTATACATAGAAAGCAACGCTTGTACATTGGACGAGAAAGCCGAAACTTTAGTCAAGATCTCAATCCTATTGTTAAAACCTTATACAAAATGGTCACCCTCAACGGTCTCTAGCCGGTGATTACATTCAAAAGCATTAAACATGCTATAATAACTACACAAAGAAATTTTATCGAACAAGTTCGAATCCATCTTTCCAGAAAAGACAAACTTCTATACATACTGTTATCTCGCAACACTTGGTTTACAACATCTACCATCCATTTTGCTTTTTCTGTAGTATCTGCACCTCCAAAACTATTTTCAACAGCGAGTTGTAAAACTGACCAATTGCTTAGGACAAATTGTACCGAACCAAGCAAAATATCGGAGTTTTCTTCCGCCATCTTGGATTTCGTAATAAGTTTTCGGTTGATACCGCTGTATGTTGATGCTGAGGACGCACCTAAACTTTCGATTCCAGTTTCTCTCGCTCAAATACCTTCGCAAGGAAAGTACGAAGTGTTGATTTTTCTCTGTCAGTGAAACAGATCCCTACCAGGAAAAAGGAAATCTGAACACCCTCAATCAACTTTTATAAACCTATTAGCTCATAAGGGATGCCGCTCGAACAATAGCGTAGCCAGGGAGGACTGAGGGTGGATCTTTTCTCGGACGCTTTCGTCGGGACATTTCCGCCTAATTTCGGCTGGCTTCGTCCGATTTCGGACGCTTCCGTTTGATGTGGGACGGTTTTCGGCTGATGTCGGAGATCTTACGTCTGATCTAAGCTATACTGGTGATTATAAGAAGCTGATCGCAAATACGCTTTCGCTATCAGACAAGCACTGTCCTTTATGTCAGTGGTTTTTGTGCGATATGAAAATTAATGACAGGGGTATTAGATAAATAAGACGCTTTCTGACATGTCGACTAATGATTTCCTTGACTGAAAGATTGTCCTCAAAATTTCCTATTTGCCCTCAAACCTTTGCTTCTCGGTCAAATGTTCATTTTTCGGACAATCTCGTCTACATACGTTATTAGCCGACATACCAGCCGCCTGAAGGGATTTATTTACTAAATATGCTGATTGTAATTCAGTTTTAGAAATGGGAGTCGTTGAACTCATTTCTCAATTAAAGACAAGTAAGGCTACAATCAAGGTTACCTCCAAGAAACCGTATTGTTGCCATGGTAATCTTTATAACCAAAGATAGTCGTTTCCAACCCATGACAATCTTCTCCGTCATGAACAGTACTTACTCTATTTTCTCAACTCTTACATGTACCTCTTTCGTCGCCGTTTTTCTTTCTTTTTAAGCAAAAACTCACCTTTTAATAAATAGTCAAATATTTACTGAATATTTGTAATATAACGTCGATAACATGCATAAAAAGAGTAAGGCTATTCGGTAATTGCCTATACCGTAGGTATTCTATAGAGCGAATTTCGGCGTTGGAGGTAATTCGCTCAGTTCCAAACCCAGAATTCCCAAAAATCAATAATCTTAATTATCTACAAGATAGACAATATTCTCTTTAACACCGATTGTTTTAAAATGAGATTTCAAAGCTCGTGGTGTTTTTCACTTGATTCATTGACGGCTTTCTACAAAAAAAAAACAATAAACAGCTTTTGACGTGAGCAAGAATTCTTAAACGCGTAAATTAAAAGCGTCTCTCCTTTTAAAACAACGTCTTTTTATCACCCGGATTCGAGCAAGAATGTTCCTAATTTTCTACTTCACGAGCTTTCAATAATTAGCCAACAAAGTTGACTTATCTTCAAAGGATTTACGTCACAGTTTGCGAACATTTTGTTAATCTTCACCAACCTTGACCGTCTTTGTTTACCGTTGTTTACGTAATTTACACTGGTATGTTTACATCTATCATGTCATGCAATAAAGTTCTGGAACATAAAAGTTCAGTCTCAAAGCCTTTCTCCTTTAAGGCAAAGTTTCTAAGTTTATCCTCTTAGGGTTACTACGCAACCACTTGATAAGGAGTGAAAATAAGGTTTCCAGCAGAGTAGAACTTCGTTGTTGTTGCATGACTAGTTATTAAACAAGAGGCCCGCAAAAGACATTTACTCCAAAGACCGGCACTTCATTACATTCTTCTCTCCTGTTGTGCTTCGACTGTAGCTGGAGGAATACTATAATACTAAAAATAAAGTAATATTAATAATAGTATATGGTAGATTTAAAGTAAAAAGCAAAAGTTTGCCTCAATACTGATACGCTTCTTTGATTTCATGAAAGTCAAAATAGATACGCCTCATTTAAGTGTTTGACAGATATATGCCTTCGTCGGCATACGTTACAGCAAACACTTTCGACTCATTTGAACTTCGTTGCGGGTGGGTGGATAGAGTGTGATTCTGCGACTCCCAAAGCTGTCTGAGTCCTTCATCAAACTGAAGGTAAATTAATTAAATTGTTTTATCTCTCAACTATTCTCCCTCTTTTTAGAGCACAACTTTGCACCGACGAGTTTTTTGACTTTCATATTTTAAACAATTCTAGCTCTTATTTTGCCAGAGGGTACTTCCCAGCCCTTATCTTTCTCAGTTTTACTTAAAAATGAAATATAGTGTTCCACTATCTCACAAACGCGCCGCAAAAGATTCCTTCCTACACTAATCTCCTCAAAACGAATCCTTTATTTTTCCGTGACGGAAAATAGGTTAAATTGTAATAAGTCGCTTGCGGGCTTCTTGATCGATATCTATTGTCATGCAACAAAAACTATGCATTAGTTCTAGTTTACGCGAAACTCCACATTTACACTATAATAACAACTCGAGACAGAGGATAAAATGCCGTTGTTTTAGGCGAATTTGATTCATTTTCACCGTACAGAAAAACTGTCTCGAATAGAAGGAAACATGAAAAGAGACTATAAAAGACAGAGATGGTCAAGAGCAATGAAGATAAATGTTCACAAACTGTCAAGCAAATACATCGCGCACAATTAGTTTAAAGGCATCGCTTGAGAGTTTTCGCCGTAGCTTATAGCGGGAAAAATCGACGATATTCCTCAGGTCCTATTTAACATTCTGAAAACCGAGTGTCCTACGTGTTGACAGCCTTTCTAACATTTCTTTAAACCCTAAACTGTTCACTTGTCTGGACAGGTGCATGTAATGTGGGAAAACAAATAAACTCTTATACTTGCGCAACAAATGGAAGCTACTGATAATGCTGCTGTTGTTGCTGTTTTATCTTTATTAACAGTAAATTTTAAAGAAACAATGCAAAATTTCGCCCACTGGCGACAGTTGAACAAGAGAAAAAAAAAATCAAAAATAAATAACTAAAACTCCTCCTGATATGGATACACTCCGTTGATTTAATGACGCTCGGACCTACCTTACGCCCCTTTAAAGTGTTAAACAGATGAAAGCCTACGACTGCATATATTTAAGCAAACAGCTTTGACTCATCTAAACATCTTTTCAGCTAACCCAAAAAAGTGTGAAGCTAAGACCCCAGGAACTCCCTGAATTCCCAATTCCACTAAATATTAGTAATTAAAAATGTTCTATGCCCGTACCAGTTTTCCTCTCACAAAAGCGCCGCTTTGTTCCAATGAGTTCTTAGACTTTCAATCCTCAAACATCTCTCGAACATTGCCAGAGAGTAGTTACTAGGCCAGTAGAAACGCTCACCGGGCTTAACCGTAAAAATATATTTTCCTTTGACACTTTCAGGGTTACGAGGAAATGAAAACAGTTGGATACCAGAAATTATCCATCGATGGCGATTCGGAAAGAATCGGTTACGTTTCTTTTCTTTTATTCCAATGGATGAATAACATCTTCGAGAAAGGTAGCAAAGGAAGGATAGATGAGAGCGACTTTGAACCACTTTCAAGGGAAAACACCACCGAGGTTTTCACCAATCGCCTCCAAACATGCTGGGATGAAGAAAAAGCTGCTACAAAAGGCAGTGAACAAAAACCACAACTTTGGAGAAGTGTCATAAAAATGATCTATTTGAAGGATGCAGTGATTACTGTGCTCCTTTACTTGGCATCCTTACTTTGGCGCCTCTCTAGGCCTTTGTTTCTTGGTTACCTTATTTCTTCATTAATGGAGACTGAGCCCCATAAAAGTTTTCTTTTGTATGGTTTTGTAACGGCTATGGGGATCTGTGGCTATATTGGGGCGACAGCTGTTCATCACTATGCCTATCGATGTGATGTGTACGGTATCGGAATAGGCAGTGCTCTGAAAGGACTAATTTACCAAAAAGTATGCAATTAAGCTTTTTATAAAATTTTTCTGCCCTGATATTACACACATGACGAACCACGAGTCCTAACGTATTTGACTAGCCAGCGTCATGTTTTGACAGGATCTTCCGTCAAGGTTAGTTACAAGACAGAATTCTATACAATGATTGCAAGAGTTGAGGTCAACGGCTCAAAGTAATCCTGCAGTTAACTCATTAAATGATCATGGGTGCTCTCTTTCCTGTTATCATTTGTCACTAGCATGCAGTACAAAACGATTCTGACTCCCTTCCGAATTAGGCTGTCCAATTCCCTACCCCGAATTAAGCTACCGAGAACTTGTGGCTGAGTTGTGCCGTAAACTAGGTTCACGAATGTATGGTTTACCTCACGTACAAGTTCTCCTTAGCTCAGCCATGGAGCAGAAAAAATATTAGAAGATTTGAAGGTAGAATTATCAAACAAGTACCAGAAGTTCTCTTCGTATCACACTTACTGACAAATCAAAAATATTTCTCAGATAAACGGGTACATTTCCCAATAATTAGCGACTATGAGCTCGAAAGGCTGAAAACAGCTTGTATTTTCAGGTTCTAATGCTCAACAAAACTGAGTTACTGAAATTTACAACGGGCCGTGTGATTGACCTCGTATCCAACGATGTTCAGCGACTCGAAGATCACGCTGTGATGATGGGCTTTAGTGCTTTTTTGGATTTCTTCCTACTCCTACCTATTATAGTGGTATTACTTGTGTATTTCATCGGTTGGCAAGCTCTCATGGGGGTCACATGCCTTGTTTTGCTCATGCCATATTTCGCTGGGTTGTCCTGCGTCTTTGCTGTACTGCGCCTGAGGACAACAGCGTTTTCAGACAGCCGCATATCTT